GCGAAGACCGTGCCCGAGGATCTGCCAGGAGGCAGCTCGGTGCTACAGGTACTGGCCATCGATCGCGATGGCTCCTCGCCCAACAATGCGATCGTTTATCGCATACAAACAGGCGCCAGTGACAAGTTTATTATAAACTCGGAGACGGGTGTTATAACTGTGGCTCAAGGTGCCAATCTGGACCCAGATCTGACCGAAAGTAAACGTCTGATCTACACTCTGAATGTGGCAAGTTTCTAAAAACAATCCGATATGAAAGTTTCTTGAAATTAATATAATCTTTGCTGCCTTAGCTTGCATTGGACGGAGGCCTAGGCAACTCTCAGATGATGAATACCGCAACGGTGAATATTAGCATCAAGGATGTAAACAATAAGCCCCCAGTGCTACAGGATTTACCAACACTGAAGATAGTGGAGAACACACCCGTGGGCACCTTAGTCTATCAAGTCAAAGCCACAGATCCCGATCAGAATCCCATACTGCGCTATAAACTCAATGCAGCGCATTCCGAGGCACGCAACGAGGAGGGCGCCCTGGTGAAGATCACTGAATATGATTATCTGGGAGCTTTCGATCTAGATGCTATAGAGGGCTATTTGAAGGTGATTAAATTATTGGATCGTGAGAAAGTGGAACATATCAAGCTGGCCATAACTGTGGAGGATTTGGCAGCTGCCAAGGGCAGACAGATTGTGGAAGGTATGTATTGTCAAAGCATAGTCTAATCAAATCTATTTAACCATTTCAATCCCTAGCTTTCCTCACTATTCAAATCCAGGACGAAAATGACAATAATCCCAGGTTCCGGCAACCATTCTATAGACAAACGATCACCGAGAACAGCATCAACGGCGTCCTGATTGCCAACGTGCTGGCCTATGATGTGGACAAGAATCGCACCGTTAGCTACGCCCTGGAGGGTAATCCCATCTATCGCAGTCTGGTCCACTTGGATGCACAGACTGGCGAGATCGTGGTGGCCAATAAGATCGATCACGAGCAACATCAGTGGCTCAACTTTAGTGTGCGAGCGACTGATGCGGGTCTGCCGCCCAGATCCGCTTTGGTGGATGTCTTCGTAAGCGTCCTGGATGAGAACGACAATAATCCCTATTTCATAGGTGGCAGCAAGAATTACACGATCAGTGAGAGCGCTGCCCCAGGCACTCGGGTGGCTACTGTGCAGGCGGCAGATGCCGATTCGGGCGACTTTGGCAAGATCACATTTCTAATGGATCGCATCAGTTCACAGGGGAAGTTCACCATAGATGCTGACACGGGCGTTTTAAGCGTGGCCGATAAGCTCGATCGGGAGACCAAGGACTCGTACAATCTGGTGATCGAGGCCTGGGACAATTATCAGTTTGGCTTCTTGGCCGGCGAGAGCCGGAATGCGTTCAAGCAAGTGTTGTAAGTAAAATAATAGGCCCTTAAGTTTGCGATCTAATAATATACCATTTCCCCGTCAGCATAAATATACTGGATGAAAACGATAATGAGCCTGAGGTCAGCCTGCCCAGCAGCTGCATTCTGATCACGGAATATCATGAGCTGCACGAAAGCATTGCCAGCATTGTGGGCAGAGATGCAGATGATCCTGCCACACCAAATGGCCGACTGGAGTTCGCCATCAGCAAGGGCAACAGAGACGGTCTGTTCGAGCTTAGGCAACTGGATCCTTGGAACGCTCAGATCTATGCCAGCAAGACACTGCGCAATCAATTTGGCAACTATACGCTAACCATTAAGACCAGGGATTTGGGTGTGCCTGCCAATGTGGTACTGAATACACTGGACATCTGCGTTTCGGACTTCAATGATCACGCGCCGGTGTTCGTGAGGCCCCTACACAACACGACGGTGCGCATACCGGAAAATGCAACAGTGGGCACCATGATTCTGCAGGCGTATGCAAGTGATGCGGACATTGGACAGAATGCGCTAGTGCGCTATCGCCTCAAGCCCGATCCTCTGGGCAGCTACAAGTTGTTCGAAATAAGGCCCAGCACGGGCGAACTGCTGCTTAAGGAGCGCCTAAATCGGAACAAGCAAAAGATGCATGAGGTCAGACTGGATTACTGGCTAACATTAAAAAAAAAAATACTAAACATCTCTCCATTTTAGATTAGAATCGAGGCTTACGATCAGGGACTGCCCACATCCTTGAGCACAGATCTCGATCTCACCATCTACGTGCGGAATGTGAACGACTACGAGCCGCAGTTTATTGTGAACGAGATCTCGGTCAACTTTACGGAACACTCTGATCCGGGCGCGGAGCGTATTAAGTTGCCCGACACCGTAGACAAGGATGAGATGGATCTCGATGATCCGGACGAGTCACCCACCCAGGTGTGCTACTTCATACTGCATGGCAATGAAGCAGGCTACTTCCGCTTGGATCCGGAGACTCATGTGCTGACTGTGGAGCGAGAACTGGACCGAGAGCTGATTGCAAACTTTACGCTGTATGTGAAGGCCACAGAGAACTGCGCCAACGACACGCTGGAGCATAGCCTCCCTGGCCGAGGCATTGAGATCGACAGCAAAGTGAACAGCAGACAGACACAGATGAGCTACGATCGCTTCAAGCACTCGCGCCACTTGCGCGGCCCCAGTCTGGAGTACGAAATGTCCACATCCGCCGAGCCGGAGGCGCTGCTGTCCTACGACAGCTATGTGGATGCAAACAGTGCGGAGAAACTGGACAGCACCGTGGTATGTGTGCGGGTGCGTGTGCTGGACATCAATGACAATCCGCCAAAGTTTCGCTCGAAGATCTTCACAGGCGGCATCACGACCAACGCTGACTTTGGCCAGATTTTCATGCGTGTGGAGGCCTTTGACCCGGACGAGGGCGATAATGCGAAAATCACCTACTACCAGGTGGGCGACATAAGACAGACACTGTCCGAAGGTCTGGAGAACGTGCGCAAGGAACCATTCCTCATCGATCGGAACACTGGCGACGTGCAGCTCAACTTCGATCCACAAAAGGGCATGAAGGGCTACTTTGACTTTATGGTGCTGGCCAACGACACGCTGGGCATGCGAGATGTGGCCCACGTGTTTATCTATCTGCTGCGCGAGGATCAGAAGGTGCGCATTGTCTTCCGACTGCAGCCGGACGAGCTGCGCTCCAGAATCGATACGTTTAGAGAGTAAGTCTGCTATATACGTACATATATCTATTTTCATTACTAACTTCCATTCATTAGCACCCTGGGCAACGTGACGGACTCGATTGTCAACATTGATGAGATTAAGGTGCACGAAAATAAAGACGGATCCGTGGACAAGACGAAAACGGATCTATATATGCATTTAGTCGAGCGCGAAGATAATTCTATATACGAGGTGTCGGAGGTGCTCAAGCTAATCGACACACACATCGAGAGTCTAGACGAACTGTTCAAGGATCTGAACGTGCTGGACACACAGCCTGCCGAGGCCCAACTGCTCATGGCCAGCCCGACGAAGGGCGCCTTGTTCGTGTGGCTTGTGTTCACGAATCTCTTCCTGGCCTCCCTCCTGGTGGTCACATTGGCGCTGTGCGCATCGCAGCGCAAAGGCTACAAGAGGCAGCTGCGCGCCGCCAAAGTCAACATCTTTCGTAAGCTGTGATATCAATACAATCCCAGCCATTGCTAACCTTTCCAAACTGCCACCAGGTGGACACTCCTCCACATCGCTGCAGCATCCCCACGAGCCTGCGACAAGAGTGCCCAATACCAACAAGCACAGCGTGCAGGGCTCCAATCCCATTTGGCTGAAGGGATACGAGAACGAATGGTTCAAGACCGAGGAAACTCTAAGGTGGGCGTCCAATCGAAACAAGTTCTATATAGACTGATCTCACATAAGATTTTAACTAAATTTTCTGTACAGCGTTGGCGGTCAGGACTCGTTGGATGACAATTTTCTGGCCATTGGGACACAGGATCTACGCGAAACCCTCAAGGGTACTGCCAAATTGTTCAACAATACGAATGACCTGAATCGGCATTTCAATCTCTACAATCAAATTGACAAACTAACGAATAATGCTCAAATCTTAGCGCGAAAACTGGAGACTACAGAGTTATAGCCGATACATCGACCGCACTCTAGGCTAAGCCAAACTATTTATTATAATTAAACTTAAAATTAGTTCATAGGCGTATCTTAAGAATGGACCCATGTAAATATATAGATTTTGGTAAAGATGACTTTCTATACTTACTGCATTTAATTTCTTGCTTGAGATATTGCACTGTTTATAAAGAATTCCTTTTCTATAATCCTAGTGTTCCCTCGTATTTCCAGACATATAAAATATAACACAATAGCTGTGCTGGCGCAATATAATAGTCATGGAAAGTTAAGAGCTCGTTAGAATTGCTTAAGAATTGAAAGATCGGATGCTGTTTAAAGAACTTACCACGTCCGTGTTTGTATTCCAATCGGCCGAAGATTATAAATATATAAAATATTTTGATTTGTTACGACTACTTTAACATTCAGACATTTGTAATCATCAAAAACCTTGCCTACTGAGAAACAAAATGATTAAAACCGTCATCAACTATTTACTAGATAAGTGCCCTATTTTTTCCGCAATCATTAACCAACTAGTAATTTTTTTTTTTTTTTCTTCTTTGTTTGGCTTGGTTCGGTTTGGATTGCTTCTTGGCCAAAGCAGACCAAATTCGCTGGGGAATTAGCTGTCCAGTTGGATTATGAGGTTCGTCTTCTTTTCTCTTTTTTTTCGTTTTTTCTTTGAAATAAAAAATTTAAAAAGCAGAAATTTCAAATGCAACTCCAAAATTTAAGTTGGCCGACCGCAAAACGAAGAAAGGTTAACCTTTGATAGATCGCTATAACGCGGTTTTACTGTTTTTTTGAATTGGAACTATGCGTGTGTGTGTTTAGACGAAGGAACTGGATTATTGTCAGAAAATTGTGTTTAATTTATTTTGTATTTTGTATCGCCAGCTTGTCTGACAGTCTGCAAAAGCTTGCTACGAAACCCCCCAGTAACGAGGCCACCCATATGAAAACTAAAGCAATGTTCAATTGTCAAGAAAAATTTATATCCACATGAAATATTGTAAGTGAAGCTAAATTAGAAGTTCAATTCATCACGAGTAAAAGGTCTGATTGAGAATTCTTATTTTTAGTCGAGCTACAATGGGTTCCCATACCGAAGCATCATATTCGATGATATGGTAGTTATCTAAATTATGGTAATTCAATGGAAAATAATTTCATTAACCAAATTCCGACAAATTTACATTAAAAACATTTTGTTGCAGTTGCCATAAAATCAATATTTTTATTTCTCTTCTATTTTTTTTTTTTATATTTTCTTTTGCTTATAATATATGTGTTTCTTTTTTTGTTTAATATTTTTTCGTTTATAATAATTACACAAATTAGATCACAAAAATGCATGTAAACTACAAAAAATGATTTGAACTCCGAACCGAAAATAAAAATAAAAAATTCCACAACTTTGTGAACCAATCTTTGCTTTTGGCCGAGTTGCTACGTGGAGGAGTTTTTTGTTGGATGGGCCGCTTCTATCTTCTCTTAACAAATACATCTTCACATATTCTGTATAAAGACATATATTTGTATATATGTATGTATAAACGACTCGTTTGAGTACAAAAAGTAAATAATAATAATTCAATTAATATTGAAATGAATACATGTTTTTTAGCTTCGAAAAGAATTTTGTTCGCGCTACTTGCACAGCAAAAAATAAGTTTGTTTATATATGTATATATTTATCTTTATATGTATATGTAAGCTAGTTGTCAACTAAAGTGAACTTAATTAAGTTAAACTAAATTAATGCCAAAGATCAATCAAATCAAAACAGTACATATGAAGAGACAGAGATAGATAGGAAGAGAGAGAGAGAGAAAGAGAGAGGATTAATATACATGTGTTTAAGATAATTGTATATAGTTATATATGTATGTATATATAAGTATGTATATATATTACAGTTTTGTCTACTAAGTTTAAAGTACGAGTGGTTCCCTTCTCTTGTACACGTCCATAACGAAGATCCTCAATGTGCGATGCCGAGGCATGATGTAAATCGAATGCTTCATGCATATATTTAATTTATATAATTTGATGTATTCATATTTTGTTTTTATTAAACGGTTTCTCTCATTTAATACTTGCAAAGATGACAAATGAAATATTACAATGGATGGGTGTAAGTCGATGTCAATGTATGTGTATGGGTATGTGTAGGTGTAGGTGTGTGTGTGTGCGTATGTGCGAGGTGGGCGTGTAGATTGGGGCGTTAAATGATTTATATTTAAAGCGTAACAGTTTTCTTGTATGTATTTGTGGATACATCATGTGTATGTGTGTGTTTTGTATATTACTTAAGCTAAATAATTTTACATTTCAGTATATAAAGTATGTATATAACTCTATTTAATATGTAATCGTTAATTTACATATGTATGTAGTACGTAGACCAAAGATCAAAAGTAAAAAATATCTTCAAATATATGAAAATTGAATTACTTAATCCATTAAATCAACTACGAACAAAATCATTTTTGCATTTGTATTTTTGTTGTTTTGCTTGTTTGTTGTTTTTTTTTTTTTTTTTTCTGCGAACTTAAAAGTCAAGTTGCATTTTGATTTTGTCAGTTGGTTTCATTTAAATTAAAGCTTACATAGGTCTGTGTATTATTTATATATATTTATACATATATTTATGTATATGTATGTATATTTAGTAATACGATTCGCGGTTTCAAACTATGTAATCCCTTGTACATTTATATATATGTGTGTGTGTTTGTGTATATGTGTATGTGTATGTGTTTAAAAAACTTAAATTCTTTTTGCTTCTGCTGCTGTTGTTGTTACATTTCTCATTATATTTTGATGTAAATGCGCCTATAAAAACAAAAACTAAAATTCTATGCCTATTTAGAACTTAAGTCTTCTATGCGATTTTTAGCATTTCTTTCACGCTTTCAAATTCAACTTTTTTGCTAAGATTTCCTACGTTCGTTTCATTATTTTCCCTCTTTTACTCTGTGGGCGTGTTTCTGTGTGTGTATGTGTTTACCTGCTTTCTACATTTCCCTCACAATTTGTTAATTCTTAAATGTTTTGTTGTACTAACTGATCAAATTAAATCATTAACTTTAACGCTAAGGTTTCACGCGAATTTACATTTTACTTTCTTGTAATTATTTGTATTTTTAAATTTTTTTTTGCTTTTATAGTTTTTGTTTGTTTTTTTTTTTTTATTTTTTCATTAGAATTTTTTTGCAATAACACGAATTAATTATGTATATGCTGCTTCAGTTATATAATATATGTATAGCATACTATACATACAAACATATATAGAAATGTATTCTAGACAAGAAATTGGAGTAGAGTGAAATTGCAAAGCTTCTCCGATGGCCAAACAAGAAAATTTTGGCAAATATAGAAAACATAAAAAGTGTTATCAACATTCGTTGAGAAATTTAGTTCGATTTTCTTTCAATGTGGTTTCTTATCAGTTTTCATTTAAGATCTAAAAGATTTCTGTCGAAAGAACTTTTGGAAAAAAACGACGAGCTACGCAGACTCGTTAGAAGCGTATACACAAATGCGGCTTAGGCCAACTTAAGTCTGTACCAGGCCGCGTATATCCGCGACGGAGGCCGCCGGCGTGCAGCTGTTGGAGCTGGATCCGGCAGCACCGTTGCTGCTACTGTTTCCGCCGCCGCTGCTATCGACAAAGAGCGTGGATGCATCAATGTCGGATGCGTTCGGCGAGTTCATTACAGCGTTCACAAGCAGATCATCGTCCACGTCGAGGAAATCGTTAAGGAAGGCGCTGTCGTGCGCAGTATTGCCGATTGTCTGCTGGAGACACTTGAGGTTCTTATCGGCAATCTCGAGCGCACGATCCATGGCCTCGCACTCGGCTTGTTGCACTGCAGCAGAGCACAGCACAGGTGGCGCATTGGCGGAGAGGTGCACACATTAATTAGTACAATGAAAAGCAGAGTTAACTTTGTTATTATGAAATACACACCAGATTGAAACAACTCGTTGAACGCATCCTCCGGCAGCGTATCAAATACATTTACCAAATCGTGCTCCTCCAGCAGATGGGCGCCATTCAATGCTATATCATCTGGAAGAGTTGGATGGGAATAGTTAGCAATTGGCCGATTTCGAATATAATGCGAATATGTTTTCCACTTACCAGCATCATTAGCGCCTATCAGCTCCGACTCACTCAGACCTCCCAGGCCCGTATCTTCGGAGCTGGCATAGGCCGAACTGTTCTCGCAGATGCCAAACATATGCTGGCTCAGCAGATTTTCTGTGCTGGCCAACGCAGTGTTTGCATGATGCGATGCCACCTGCTGGCCCTGGCCGCTCATGGCATTGCCAAAAGCTGCATTGAATGAGGGAAAGCCGCAGCTAATGCTGCTGCTGCCGCTGTTGCTGTTGTTGTTGCTGCAATAGTTTACGCTATTGCTGTTGTTGCTGTTCATGTTGATGTTGTTGTTGTTGAAGTGCAAGTTGTTGTTGTTGTTGTTATTATGATGCAACTCGCTACTGGCAGCCGCCAGCTGTGCCACAATCTGGCTAATCTCATCGGCCTTGAAATTAGCATTGGCCAGCAAATTAGCATCTAGCTGCTGCGTCTGCTGCGTCTGCTGCTCTGTCTCGCTCTTAGGCAGCAGCATCTGCGGATATTGCTGCTGATGCTGCTGTTGCTGCTGGCAATCGCTGAGCGGGGCCAACGCTGGAGGTATAATGGACAGCTGCGGCATCGTCATCACAGGCGCTGCAGGTGTGTAGGGCGGCAGGGCCGAGTGCGACATGGCCGACGACTGCGAATTGCTCGCAATGGACTCCAGCGAGGTGGTGCTGCTCTTACGCTGCAGCACCGCGGACACTGGCGGCAATGCAGGTAAGGTGGTGTTAGCGACTACGTCTGGCTTTTTGGCACGCTTCTGCGGACGGCCAACCGGATTGGCATTTGGATTCGTTTTGCGCTTGCGTTTATTAGCAACTGGTGCATTCGCAGTCACCGCTGGCACAGGACCCGGCACAGCAGGCGTGGGTGCCGGCTTGGGCAGCTGTTGCACCACCTTAGCCCGTTGCTGCGTTTTCTGCACCTTGGACTGCACCTCAATGCCGTGTCGCAGATGACTGTGAGCCGGGCACAATGCCAGTGTGTGCAGCACATCGAAGACGGGCGCCTGACAGGCCACCCCATCCATACGCCAAGCGACGCACGGCTGGAACAGTTGCTGCGTCGTATTGTTGACAATGTGCCGCTCGCAGTGGGCAGCCATGCTGAGCGTGGGTTGCTTGCACGCAGCCACCAGGCAACGATTGCCAACGCCACTGCAAAGATAAATAGTTATTTTAGTTTACTTTCATTTGGACAATATTATTTTGAGTGTACTTACATGCCCTGCTCCTGGCTCGCATGGTCTCCGTACTTAAGAAGTAGATTCTGAACACATTGCAGTCGCTGACGTGCCGCACGCATTGGCAGCTCCTGGAGCGAGCGCGTTGAAAGCAACTGCAGTGCCTGACGACGCAGTACACCCTTGCGTAGAGCAATGCGCTCCTCGCGATTGCTCAACCCAGACTGTGGCTCCTCGACCAGATATTGACCAGCATGGAACCAACGTGTTTGAAAGCAGTATGGAACATCGAACTCCAAAGGCTCGTTCTCGTTTAACAACACTGCATTCCGCTTGGTCGCTGGCGGCGGCACTTTCCGACGCCGCGACACGGTGCTAATCGATGTTGGTTCTGACGCTGGAGCTGCCGAAGCAACCGTTGCTGGTTGCTCAACTGTTGTAGTCGGCAGTGGCGGTGGAGGTGGAGGTGGAGCTGGAGCTGGAGCTGGAGCTCGAGCTGGCGGCGGAGCAGAAGTGGCCAGTGCAGCATTTTTGTTATTGGTTTTGTTGACCTTTCTGCAGCCAGTGGCAGCTGCTGCCTGCGCTTTGCGTTTCGGCACTGCAGCCTGACTGACAAAAGAATTGGCCACTTTGGAAGACGTTTGTTCATATTGAATGCTGGCTATAGGTGCTGCTGCTGCTACTCCAGTTGTGAGGGCGGGTGTGATAACTGTTGCCATTGCCGCTGCTGCTGCTGTGGCTGGCGGTGCACACAGGTTGCTCAACTGTGGCGTTGACGGCGGCGTGGGCGGCGTTGGCGGTGTTAATGGCGCCACAGCGCCCAGCTTCATCATTGCCGATTGCTGCTGGCCCATGGCGGCTGCTGGGCGTGGCGTTGTTTGTGCGGCTGCTC